GTGGAGCCAACCCCAACTCCTGGTGACCCTGTGGGTCAGGGCAGAACGGGGTCCTCGCAGTTTCCCACGCTGGCCTTTCAGAACTCAATGAGGCCTTCCTTCCAAAGCCCCCCGGGGTGGACTCAAACCCCGCACCTTCCAGGGAACAGCCGAGCACATTCACTGTACCCCCAGGACCTTTCCGCCAAGGACCAAAACGGTGACAAGCTGTCTCAAGAGGCAGACAAGTTTCAAAAGCTGCCACCGAAGCCTAAATTAAAATCCCCAGCCGCTGACCCGCTGGATGCCTGGGGCTGTAAAGGTCTTTGTAAATCACCGAGCCCTTCGGAACAGGGTGTATTCATTCACGCATTCTGCTGGCGGGGCCCTATTTTTATGTGCCTCTAGTAGGGTTTTCTTCTGGCCCTGTAATTACAGCCTTCTGTTACAAAAATAGCAAGGGTCGAAAACTCCCTAGGGGAATTGTCTGCAAGTCTTTGCAGTCAGATCAGTGGGGCTATTTTTATGATGCTGGGGCCCCACCTGCAACCTAAAATAATGGTCTGGATATACTCGGAGAGGCACGGGGACCGGCTACACTCGGGGAGGCCACGGGGACCCGGATAGCCTCGGGGAGGGCACAGGGACCCGGCTACACCCGGGGAGGCCACGGGGACAACCAATCACTCTCTGAGATACTGGAGGTCACGCGGAAACAGAAAGCCGCCTGTGGGGCCCGCAGAGGACTGCAGATCTAAAGTGTGCGTGCACGTGTGTGTGAGGGACAAGACCGTGGTGAGAGCCACGGCACCTGGGTTTTCCGTGGGGACCGCAGAATGGGCCAAAGCTACCGAAGCCCAAACTCGTGGCTGGGCTGTCAGACATCGGGCCAGTCGGCCTTCAGAAAGATTGACTTTAGGGAACCTGGAAACCAAGCCGTCAGTAGAGAGACAGCTGCTCAGGGACCAGCAGGAACCGGAAGAGCTTAAAGGCGGACAAGTCGGCCAGCAGAGCTGCATGCCCTGCGCACACGCGCCTGCGCTGAGGCCGCAGCCCCTGACGGCGCTCAGCCAGGCTTTCCGGACGACCGCCCCCCTTCGGAAGGGCGGATGGTCCTTCTAACGTGGCTTGAGCTGTGAGTGAGCTGAGACCCCTCCCGGGGAGCCTGGGCCACTCCCAAGCTGAGCTCTGAGGGTTAGTACTGGCGTCTCCACCAGCATTGGCCAGGCCCAGAAACGGTACGTAGAATACCCTGAAGGTCTCCTTCCAAAAGTCAGATCAAGGAATCTCCACGGCTCACAACAAACGTCCAATGGGACGCAGCCGCGCCCTCGGGACGCAGCTGGCGCGAGCATCAGCCAATGGGACGGAGCCACGCCCATAGGCATGCCCCTGGCGCGGGTGACAGCCAATGGGACGCAGCCGGCGCGAGCATCAGCCAATGGGACGCAGCCACGCCCATGGGCATGCCCCTGGCGCGGGTTCCAGCCAATGGGACGCAGCCCTGCCTTCTGTCACGCAGCTGGCGCGGGATGGGCAACGTTCCCTCCTGAGGTAAGTGGGGTCGCCATGGTGAGCGTCAGATGGCTGGAGGCTCAGTGACGGCGTACGTAGCCCACTGGGCGCCTTTCCAGGTTCCTGTGCAGGGTGCAGGTTCCCGCGTGTGGAGAGGACAGGGGTTAAGCGCTCGGCCGCTCACCGTCATGGCAGTAGTTTGAACCCACCCAGCGGCTCCACAGGAGAAGAGACCTGGCGCTCTGCTCCCGCGAGGACGCCCTCGCTAGCAACCCTCTGGGGCGGCTCCTCCTGTCCCGTAGGGTCATGGTGGCAGATCAGCATGGTGGGGTGACAGAGGCCTGCGCAGGGTCTGTGGGCAGGAAGGTGTGGAGACGGGTCTCCAGAGAAGCAGAGCCTGGGTCTACGACGCTCGGTCAGGAGAAGCCCCGAGAAAGTGCAGGGATGGACTTCGCCCCGGCCCCCCGCGCTCCGAAGCCCCGCCCCCCGCTCTCCGTGGGGTCCGGGGGCGCAGAGAGCGAGGCCTCCCGGCTTCTGGTGGAGGGACTGCAGGCGGCCCTAGCCATCCCGACCGGACATGCAGGTCCACGATGGGACGCGACGCTGCCATGGGGTAGGCAGGCGTGGCCCCTGGAGCTCAAGGCACCAGGTCTCCGTGTGCCCTCCCCCACCCCCACCTCCTGTCCGGGACCTGGTCCAAGGACAAGACTGGGTCTGACACGTCCCTTGTGCGGAGAACCCAGCAGAGGTGGGAGGGACGGGGTGTGAAGAGAGGGGCCGGACGGAGGGACAGAGGGCGGGGTGGAGAGGGACGAGCTCAGAGGAGGTGCGGGGAGAAAAGGCCGCTTCAGGGTCCAGCCAGGAGGCCCTGGGCAGGACGTGGCCCAGCCGCACAGCCCGGATCCTGACTAACTGGTCCCCATGCTGGCCCAGGTTCAAGTGCTGACATCCCGGGCTCTGGGGGTCCCTCCCCACCTCCCTTTCAGGGAGGCTTGTCTGCTGGCTCTGCCCAGGCAGCTGGGGTGTCAGGTTGGTGGGGGTCACACATCAGCCCACAGGAGAAGAGAATGGGGGAGCAAGTGGGTGAGGGTGACAGTATACTCCGTCGCCTCTAAAGGCATCTTAACGTTGTATTGTACGCCCTGGAGTGGATTCCACCCCACAGCGACCCCACGTGACACAGCCCAACCGCCCATGGGGTTCCGAGGCTGTCCTTGGAGCAGGTCACTTTCTCCTGAGGAGCGGCCAGTGGGTTTGAACTGCCAGCCTCTGGGGTAGCAGCTTGCGCTTAACCACTGCGTATCTCTGCACAGGTGCTAACTGCAGACGCATCTCATCCTGGCCAGGACACCCACTGTTCTGTGCCCCCTCCCTTCAACCTGCTGACGTGCGGACCTTCGTCTTGTGGATGCCAGGACCGGGCCCAGCTGCTGGCCAGAGGAGAAGTACCACAAACAGGTGAGAGGCTGACACACAGATGCAGTGAACAGGCGCGGACGGATGAGTTCCACTAACTGCATACAAGACTCAAAACACTGCGAGCAAATCGGAACCTGAGTCTGACAGCCCCTGAAGCCGGTGCTGATACGAAGGCCCCGCAGCTGGTCTCCGAGTCAGCTGAAAACCAGCACCCCTTGGTGGCGCGGGGACCCAACTGCTGGCCACCCCACATGTGTCAGAGCCGGGCTGTGCTCCACAGGGCCTGACATTTTGGAATCCGATCCCAGGCCTTCCTCCTGTGTCACCCCGAGGTGGACTAGAATCACCAGTCTGTGCATGTGGCGGCCGAGCGCCTTCTCCGGCCCCTCCCAGGGGCTGTGGCTGCTTCTCAATGGACAGATAACCCCGACTACTGAACACCTAGCACCGGGAGAGTCTAGGGTCTGCGGTAGGGTCACAGCCTTGTAGAGAGCCGTCCCCTAGCTGCCCCACCCTGGGGATACCCGTGCATCAGTAATTCACACTGGATGGGGTTGTGACCTGAGTTACAGACCTGAGTGTGTTACTGGCCAGTCAGTCTCTTGCAGTGTGCTGACATGTTTAACAAAAGGCAGACCGTCTCCCAGTGTGAATCACCCCTGGTCCCGGGGCAGCGTGTCCTAGCTGGGAACTCAGGGTGCAGTGGGGCGTTCAGCTTGTCTCAAAGCATTAGAGCAGTGGCAGCTGCCTCGTGTCGTCTGGCTGGGAAGTCGGGCTTTAGAGGACAGCACAGTCAGCTGGCCTGCCTCGGGGCCGGCCAGTCGCTGCCTCTCAGTGGGGGTCACTTACCGAGCCATTGGTGCATGGGACATCATCATAGTGCAGGGTGGTCCCGCTGGGGTGCGCGTAGCCGTTGGCGACACTGCCGAGGTAGGGGTTGACGGAGATCCCCCGTCTGCTCATGAAACTGAAAGACACCGAGTTACTGCCTGCTTTCCCAGCCACCCCTCCCATGGTGATGACAGTGCCCAGGCCCTTCTGCGGAGCGGGACCTACAATGAACAGACTGGGGTGGATGCCTCCCCACAGGGACAACGGGGGCCTCTGTGGAATGTCATGTCAGAAAGGGGAGGCTGGCAGCTGCTTGGTCTCCTGGGAGGAGCCTGGTGGTGCAGTGGGTAAGTGCTTGGCTGTTAACCGAGGGGTTGGTGGTTTGCACTCACCCAGCAGCTCTGTGGGCGAGGAGACCTTGCCCTCTGCTCCCATAAACATGACAGCCGAGGAGACTCCATGGGGCAGCTCCCTGTCACGGGGTCACTTGGAATTGACTCAACAGCACCAACAGCCTCCCAGGGCTGCCGCCACCAAAAAAATCCTACAAGTGGTGGCTTTAAGGACAGGGACGCAGGACTCAACAGTGGACGCTGGAGTCCGAACCGGGCCATTTGGCACCTCCTCACGGGGAGCCCGGGTGCACCAGGGCCCGCAGAGAGATCTTTGCTAGGTGTCTGTTGTCCCTGAGTGTGTGCGTGTGCATGTGTGTGCAGGTGCAAATGTACGCATGCGTGATGTGCCCATGTGTGCACGTGTGTGTTTCCATGTCTGTTTTTTGGTTTTGTGAGACACCACTCAGAAGTGACTGGGTTTGGGACCCACCCAGCTCTGGTAGGACCTCATTAGTTACACTGGTAACATCTGCAAAGAAAGACCCCCAGGGTCTCATTCAAAGGTACGGGGTGAGGGCATCAGTGTTTTTGGGCAACGTGATCCACTGCACCCATCGTCCTCCTGTGGAGCAGTGGCCAGGACTGGTGACAGGTCCTTGGCACACAGAGCAATGGCGGGCACATGACAGGTACTTGATATATGACACCGGGTTTTATCATCATTGTCCATCAGTAACCTTATGGTGGCGCATAGCCATGCCCCGTGTGCCTGAATCGTCTTAAGCCGCTTTTCCACCACAGCAGAGCTTGCCACGTGACAGGCGGGCAGTCGCAGAGCTGAAATTCATGTGGCCGGCTCTCTTACAGAGGAAGTCCACGGACCCTGGTCCGTAAGCTCCTGAACACTCACTGGACACTAACTCCTGGGTTCTCAGGGTTCAACTCAGGAGGCACTGGGGCTCAGACCAGGGGGAAAGACCTGGCCGCTGCTTCCAAAATCAGCCCATGGAAACTGTCAGGATCTCAGTGGTCCACCGTCACTGACCACGGGAACGGTGCAGACTGGACGGACAGTGTTTCACTCTGTTGTGCGCAGCTCACCGACAGTGAAGGCCGGCTCCATGGCACGTGACAGCAGTGGTCCCTCAGCCTCAGCGCAGCCACCCTCCACAGCTCCAGATGAACCGTGCTGGCCAGAACCAACACCATCTGCACCAAACCTCCCAGGGCTTCCAGCCAATGTGCTGAGCCCGCCCCAAGCCCCGCTCAGCCTGCCCCACAGCCCCCAGCTCACTCCTCCAGCCGCACGGGCTCCGGGACTCTTCCCAGCCTCCCCTGCTGGCCTCGGGGTCTTTGCATCAGCCCCTCCATTCCTTGTGGCTCGAATGTACTTTAGTAAGAGGCCTCCGGGTCCCCTAAGACAAACAGGCCCACCCACCTGCACATTAGCCGCCCCATCCCTGCTTCCTCATGTCACCAAGCCGGTGGCATCGAGTCGGCTCCGACTCCTGGGGCTCCCATGGGCTCAGAGCAGAACTGGGCTCTGTGGGGCTCTCAGGGCTGACTTTTCAGACGCAGATCACCAGGCCTGTCTTCCAAGCCACCTTGGGTGGAGTCGAACCTCCAACTCTGTGGTCAGGTGCCGCACGGTTAAACCGTTGGGTCACCCAGGGCCTCTGAACGCCGGCCATAGTGGTTTGTCTGACGTTTCTCCCCCCGGAGGCCAGCTGCACAATGGGGACTTGGTCCCTTCTGGTCATGGCACATCTCTGGTGTCCAAGGACAGCAGCCGGGGCACAACAGTTGGTCGGCAGACATGCACCTGAACGCATAAGGACGTGCTGAGCAAGATGGGTTTGCTGGAAGGAAAACTGCAGAAGCCCACGGAGGAAGGACCTTGGATGCAGCTTCTCCCACTTGGAAGAAACCAAGACAGCCCTGAGTGCAAAAAGACGGACATTCAAAAGCATTCTGCCTCCTCTCAGCGCTTACATGTCTGTGGTGACTGAATGGAACCGGGCCCCATGGGTTCTCGGCGGCTGGTGGAATGGAACCGGGCTCCGTGCGTTCTCGGCAGCTGCTGTTTCAGTACTTTCCCAGGCCTTCCTGCAAGGTCCCTCTGTGTGGACTCTGACCTTTTGGTTAGCAGCCAAGCACGTTAACCATCTGCCCCACTCGGGGCCGCCTCCTGTGTAACCCTAAAATCACTGCCATTGAGTCAGATCCAACTGACAGTGACCAAATGAATAAAAAGAGTCACGAGAAAATTGCGAGGGGCGCCAGGGGCTGCAAACGTGCCTCTTGGACGAGCAGCCTCATGACACGGCTACCCTCCCAGGAGTGAGGGAGCGGAGGAGATGGCTTTGAGGATTACAGCCCGGCCGAGCTGGCCTGTGGGCAGCTGAGGACTTTCAAGGCGGCCACACACTGCCCTCTGCTGGGGACGAGGCAGCACCCAACGCTGCCCAGCAGTCTCCACCCAGCGGGCCTTCCCTTCCAAGCACCCCATCCTTACACCTTCCCTCCTCTCACTTCACTTTCTCTCCATCTGCATTGTTTTTTCAGTTTTTGCATTTTATTGCGATTCTTCATCTCCTCTGTCGTTTCTTAGTGCCTTTATTCTGTGGCGGCAGTTTGCTGATGCGTGGACAGTGCAGTGACAGTGCCATCCTGTCGGGAACAAGGAGGGTCCCCAGGAAGCTGCCACAAAGAACAGACCAGCATCCCGATGACGGGAAATGGCTCCTCCTGCTTAGAAATGAATGCCCGCATTCCCACTGAAACACTCACAGACGGATACGCAGGAGAAAAGCATAGGAAAGGGAAAAATACAAGGCCGACACATCCCCACTGAAAGCACGCGCTGCGCCGCGCCTGCGGGTCTGCTGTGGGTTTTCCTTTAGTCAGTAAAACAGTGAGAACAGAACCCATATAAGGTGGAGACCTGCCAGAGAAGGAAAACTCAAACTGCTTCCACTAAAGAAGCGACAGTAAAGCGGTGAGCGGTCCTGTCACCGGAGGAAGGAACACGAGGCCGTCCTGTGGCGCGCCGGCTCTCACAGGTTCCGCTGTAGTTCACAGTGGTGAGAATGGCTTGCTGTGGAGTCTGACCCTTCCTCCGAGGTCATGAGGGGGAGCCACCATCATCATCATCAGCCCAGGCTGACTCCCGGGAGACAGAGCTCAGATGTGCAGCCACCCTCCAACTTTTTACCGATTCTGATGCTGGCCGTCCCTCCCATGGCCTCTTCACTCCTCTGCTGGCTGACACTTCACTGCAGTGGCCACACGGAGCTCACAGACCCCACTGGTGATGACGGGTTATTAGGCAAGCGACACTACTCGGGGTTAGGGTCGGGAAGCCCTTCTTCAGCACAGGCCAGCTCTCCCAGCTCCTCCTGGCCCCCTGAGGACAGGCTCCTCTCTTGCCTCTCAGCCCTTGGCCCCACTTGGGCTGGCCTCTGCCCTGCTCAAGTTCGTGTTACAACGCTTTTTAGCTCCACCAAGAACTGTCCAGAGGCCCCCCACTCCGCCAGGAGGGCTCGGTCCAAAGACGCTTGGCTCTCTTGTTCCTTGGGTCAGCAGGTGTACCTCTGTCAAATGCCCGGGGGGACCCTGCTCTCCAGCAAGCCTCCGGCCCTGGGGTGCACAGCTCTCCCACTCCATGGATCGGCACGTCCACTGGAGCCCCTCTTCGGTGGCCGGGAAGCCCACTGTGCGTTTGCGCGGGTCTCCTGGCTCTGCTGCCGCCGTTTCTCACTGTCTCATGTCACGGCTGTCTCCTGGGTCTGGGAGGTTCTCAGCACAGGAACATGCTCCACTCCTGGCTGTTCTTTCCTGATGGTACTGAGACTGCCCCCTACCCCTTCTGCTCTGGAATTGGCTCTCATTTTAAGCCTTGTGCGATGGCAAAACTGGCCAATCCCCTCATTATGGTTCTGTATGCCTTATTGGCATAGCCCACCCACACAGACCTTATTTGCATAGTCCCACCCATGAGCACCTTATTTGCACAGCCCTGCCCACAGGTGCTTTATTTGCATGGCCCCACCCGACACTGGATGGGAGTCCCAGGTCCCTGTGTGGCTGAAGGGCCGCATTGATGGTTCCATTAGCACAAAGGTGCTTCCGCAGTGCCTCTGGGAGCTCCTGTCTGCTGAGGCGCTCTACACTCCTTGGTGAGAGGCAGAAACGCTGAACTCAAACCTGGCCGTGCCACACACTCCCTTGGGGCCACTGCCCTGTGCCCACAGAGATCACACACAGGGACACTCTACTGGGAGGTGGGGAGGCCTTGGCAACAGGGGCTGCCCCTTGTTGGTTTCAAGCACTATGCCTGATATGTGTGACGCACGGATGGCGGGCGCGGGAGCTGGGCCGACGGCAGGATCCAAACAGCCCCAGTGCCCTCTCTCCTGGTCACGGGGCTGGGGCAGAGACCAGCAGGACCTGTCTCACCGATGCAGGGCTCATGGAAGGTGGGAACAGCATCAACTTGGGTAGAATCCTCACCTTCCAGGCAGGAGACCCGAGTTCGATTCCAGCCCACGCACTTCACGACCATCCACCCGCCTGTCAGCGGAGGCTTGTGTGTGGGCTTCCAGACTGAGACGGACTAGGAAGGAAGACCTGGTGACCTACTTCTGAACCCCCTGCGGATCCCAGTGGTCCCGTCCACAGCTGGTCATGGAGCTGGCGCAGGTCAGGGCAGCATTTCGTTCCACGACACATGGGGTCACAGCGGAGGGGGCCCAGTTAACAGCAGCTGGTAGCAACACCAGGGAAGGTAAGGCTGGCAGGT